GCGTCTGGGAGGGGACCGCGGCTGCACCGTCGCCCGGGCGTGCAGGTGCCCCAACGGCGCGGCGGGAGATTATGTAAAGTCGTCTCTTACCCGGTGACCTTGCGGTGTTGGTGCCCCCAGCTGTCCCGGGAAGTGCTGGCACGAGCGGTGGCCCGCACCGGGGGTGACTGCGGTGATGTCCGCCGTCTGCGCTCCTCCACTGTGCTTTCTGAATCTCTCCTTCCATGTTGTCCCCAGGCGCCAGAGCAATAGGAGGATGAGGCTTCCTTCAGGGAAGCTCATGCATTAACTTTTCCCTGGAGAGCTCGGTGGTGAAACTCCTTTGAGGCCGAGGCTTGACCAGCAGTTTGTGTCTTTAAACATTTCCCATGGGTTTTGTAGCCTTAACATAACCAAATCATCATATATGTCTAAGTATTATTTTCAGTGAAGCTTTTACATCTTGAATGTGACCGTATTTCTCTGTGGGGTTAATAAGCTGTGATTACAACTTATTTAATTCAGATTCTAATACTTTAAGTCTCCTTGGGCTCTGTTGAAGAATTTTACATAGGGAAAGATAGGTGAATACTTGTAATGTGACCTATTTCTTATGTAATGAGGGTGGTTACTTTTTTTTTTTATCCTTCTGAAACAGTTCTAGTTTAAGGGATTTTTAGCTAAGGATTTTGTTGGTTTTTTCAAATGTTTCTCATAATTTAGCCTTAAATATATTTTTTTATAGATTAGCCTTGATTAATACTGAGCTTTCTCAATAATTTCTCAGAAGTAGTGAGGTTTTTCCTAGGCTACCACAGTAACAATCCTATTTTAAACCACATCCAAAAGAGATGAGGGTTGTGCTTTATAGAATCTTGGTTAAGGTAGGGGGACAGATGCAGCACGACGTTCCTCTCCTGTACGTCCACATGCTATGTCTATCACTATCCGCTTGCCTTTGTAGAATCAGTTTTTTTAATTTAAATTTTCTTAATGTTTATTTATTTTTGAGAGAGAGAGAGTCAGAGCAGGAGTGGGGGAGGGGCAGAGAGAGGGAGACACAGAATCCCAAGCAGGCTCCAGGCTCCGAGCTGTTAGCCCAGAGCCCAATGAGGGACTTGAACTCACAAACAGGGAGATCATGACCTGAGTTGCAGTGAGACACTTAACTGACTGAGCCACCCAGGCGCCCTGCCTTTTTAGAATCAGTTTTATCTGTCAGTTTGGAAAATTGAGAAAACTAAGATGATTTCAGTACAAATACCCATTAATGTTATTGTTTTTGCTTTTCAAATTGGATCATTGAGTCATCTCTGACAGAATGTAAATCTATTTATTGGTGTAATATGGAGGGCTTCTAATAACTTCATACTTCAGGTTCCTTCAGGTTTACAGACCAGCACAGGTGCTACCATAAATTCTTAGGCAGGACTTCTTTGAAGTCACTAACCTTTTTAATTTCAGTTATTTGTTACTTCTGTAAAGCAGACCTCAGCACTGGATTTACCAACACCACATCCCTTCTTCACTTTGATTCTGAGGACTTCTGCTGGAAATCTTGGAGCCTTAAAAGGCAATTAGGCTAAGGCTTGACCCCCACCTCCTCTGCTGTTAGGGATCTTGAGCAAGTTATTTAACATTTGAATGTGTCTTTGCTAAATGGGGTTAAGTATCCACTTCCTAGAATTGATGGGAGTGCAGATGAGTTTTTAGAACACACATAATAAGTGTTCAATGAATGCTGTTAACATTAAAGATAATTTCACCAGTGTAAGATTCTGTCCTTTGTATTAGTAATAATGACACTTGAGACACTTGACACGGAAGCTAGACTTTTTGGTTTTGTTACTTTAACAAAAAAATGATCAGATTGCTTCATTTCAGCCAAATCCTGAAGTTATATGTAACACGGAAGTTCAGAATAAAAAACTAGAATTGTATGATGTGAAAGAACTTCTTAGATTGTTGGAGGAGGTTTGCTTGTGACAAGAGTAGTATTCATCACACCTGATTCAGATGCAGAGTCACTGAGTCTTTTTTTTTTTTTTAACTGAAAAGCCTTTCATTTTAGAGGTGAGACAACACAAGATATCTTATCCATAACTTAATGGAGCACAGTCCTAGCCCCTGGCAAAGGTTATTCTTCATGTGTACGTGTGTATATTTGAAGGGTGTGTAAAGCCAGTGGTAGTGTTTGCGTGTGACAAAGATACTAGGGGAAATAGCCACGTCGTACTTTTTTTTTTTTAAATTTTTTTAACACTTCTTTATTTTTGAGACAGAGAGAGACAGAGCATGAACGGGGGAGGGTCAGAGAGAGGGAGACACAGAATCTGAAACAGGCTCCAGGCTCTGAGCCGTCAGCACAGAGCCCGACGCGGGGCTCGAACCCACGGACCGTGAGATCATGACCTGAGCCGAAGTCGGCCGCTTAACCGACTGAGCCACCCAGGCGCCCCCACGTCGTACTTTTTAAGCCATTTTTCCATACCCAGCTCTGTGAACCTGATCTTATCTACAAAGTAAGCTTTACACCTAGAATTATTGCTTTTCGAGAATAGATATGCTAGATTATATGGCCAATGTTCCCCCTTTTTTTTTTTTTTAAATGTTTGCTTTTTTGAGAGAGACAGAGTGTGAGTGGGAGAGGGGCAAGAGAGAGAGGGAGACACAGAATCCAAAGCAGGCTCCAGGTTCTGAGCTGTCAGCACAGAGCCCAGCGGGCCTGAACTGGGGCTACAACTCAGGAAGGGCATGATCAGGACTTGAGCCGAAGTTGGACACAGCTGACTGAGCCACCCAGGCACCCATGTGTGGCCAGTATTCTTAAGTGGAGGGCCCCTCTTCAGGCAAACGTTTCTCTTGTTTCTGTGAAATTGAGTTTTTTGCTTTTTCAGTGCAGGATATTTGTGTTAATAAAGCAGTATGCCTTTAAAGTTTGCCCACTGATTTGAAATCTCTGAATAGAAGTGTCAAGGCTGTTCTGTTGATTTAGAACTGATTATTTCTACCTTGTTGCCTACAGTTATTTTTAATATCTCTGATATTTGGAGGTGAAAAAATGCTTTTGCTAAAGACAATTTAATGAGTGGGAAAGACTTTCAGGTTGAGAATATATTAACAGCAAAAATTGATCATATTTTTACTTTAATATGCTTTATTACTTTATTGCTTGTAGATATAATTTATGATACAATTAGAAAAAATAAGGTACTCCTTTTTGTTACTGTAAAATAGGGCACATGAACATCTCTTCTACTTCTAGTGAGTTTTACTCATTGAGATTTCATTTTAGCAAGATTAATGTCAATTTTTTTCACTTGGTTTAAACTGGCAGCATATTAGGTAAAAATAGCTGTCTGGTTCCAGTTAACATGCTGTTATTATAAATTCTATACTGAATTTTTTTTTTTTTTTTTTTTTTTTTTTACTTTATCAAGCATTTGTTGTGGATGTACCTTGCTGTGTAGAAACAGGTGGAAGTTTGTTACAGAGTAAAATTTATTAGGTCATTGTATTTGTTTTGGCATTTGTGCAGAACTAAGTATCAAACTGAGTGTCTTAAACAACAGAAATTAATTGTCACACACTTCTGGAGTCTTGATGAAGGGGACAGTGAGGACATATTCCTCTGAAGGCCTTAGGCAAGAGTCCGTTCAGGCCTCTTTCCCAGATTCTAGTAGTTTGTTGGCAATCTTTGGCTTTTCTTGCTTTGTTTGCACATCACCCTGATTTCTGTCTTCACGTTAGCATGGTTTTCTTCCTATCTGTGTCCAAATCTCCCCTTTCTCTAAGGACACCAGTCATATTGAATTAGAGACCCACCGTACAACAGTATGACCTCATTTTAGCTTAAGTAGTTACATCTGCAGTGACTGTATTTCTGAAATAAGGTCACATTCTGAGGTACTGGGGATTAGGATTTCAACATAAGTTTTTGGAGGGGGCACATAACCCATAACAGCTATTATTTGCGTGACAGAATTCACCACAGTGTTCTCCTAAATATTGCATTTGATTTAGCATTAAGGAGACAATTAAGTCTATAAATAACACCTTTATATTGCATTGAATGAGATCTGCTTTCTTCTTTTCAATAAATTTGGTTAGGATATATACCTACTATAGACTACATTTTTTTTTTAATGATAGAAACTAATATTTGCTTAGGCTGTATGTTATGATATAATCTGGTGCATGATTATTGTCCCACTCAGATTCATCAACTGGAAAATTTTAATTACATTGGTATTTTATGCCTTTCCATTTAACTAATTTATTCATGCTTTCATCATATTTAAAGTGCTGTATTTTACATAGATGTTTTGCTTGGGAGAATGTTGCATAAATCTGTTTTATGCATTTATTGATTTGGTGAGACTTCAAATTTGTTAAGGTAATTAATGAAATATATAATTAGTTATAACTTTGAGTGAGGTTCTCAGTTCCTTAAATGCTTGCTTTAAAGCAGTAAAATCTCTGCTGCCTTCAAAATCTCGAGTATA